CGGCGGCAACGTTGCGCTCTGCTGAGCGCGACTTGGACTTTAGCTATACGGCTTTAAGTTGAACATTACAAGTCACAAGCTGCGGCAGACACGACTCTGGCAATGTGTGTTGGGGGCGCAACGCACTTGCTGTGCCTCTTGGGTTGGGGGCATGCAACATGTGAACTTGTGAAAAATCGAAATTCCAATTCGAGCTGCAGCCACAGTCGCAGCCGCGGCAGCAACTGGCAACTGCCAGAACCTGGGCAGCTGGGCAAAATGATTTACGCTCAAATAACATGTTGCATGCGGCAAGCCGAGCAATGTGTCTTTGTTGCAACTCACAGGCAGACTCACAGGCTCATCATATTTGCCTGGCCCCATGTTAATGAATTTCTCAGGGCCTCACATTCACTGTGAGAGCCACAGACTATATAGACACATATATATCTACATATATATATCTGCTATATATTCAAGGCTTTTGGGAAATTGGTAAATGGCAAAACCAAATCACGAATTCAGGTCAGCTTAGAACGTTGCCAACTTCTGTACAAATTATATTCAATTATGGAGCTGCTTTATCAAGATTTCAGCAGCTCAATTACGTGTATGCCTGACAACCTACCTTAAGTGCTGGGCAGCTGGGCAACCAGGGGAAGGGGGGGCAGGTGGGCTCCATTATTGGGCCAACAGAAATTCTAACAAATTGAAAGCAGTCAACGCTCGCCCGGAAAGCTGCTGCTGCTGCTGCTTCACAAATCAGACATCATTTTCATAATTACATAATCATCAATATATATTGTAGGGGAAAACAAAGATATCGAAAGGGCCAAAGCAAAGCGAAAACAATTGATGACAATAATGTTGAAAAGCAAACGAATTAAGAAATAAACGGGCAAACGAGCGCCTACAAGGCATAGCCGACGCGCGAATACACTTGATCTGCTCCATTTTGCAATCTGCCTAGAAATGTACTAAAAAACGGAAGCTTGGCAAGGTTCGACTAGGGTATACTCTGTAAGCCTTCTTCTAACAACAATAAATACATTTCGTTAGTCTGGCCCTAAGAGCCTAGGCTGATTTCATAACTTGGATAACTTTTGCTCTAATTTTAGCGCAATTTATTGCTTTTTTCCTATAAGCTATTTTTTGAGCCCCAAACTTTGTGCTCACCTTGGTTCTTAGGAAAATTCAAAATACCCGAAGCTAGTGTATTAAAATTACTTCAGCACGTTTTGCCAGCCAAAACTCACAATGAACCTGTCTTCAAATTGTTTTCTATTCATTTCTGTTTGAACAAAAACAACATTTTTACATAACATTTGTTGCATTTTTTATTTCTTTATTTTTGCTGAAAGCCTTTGCCCAATTTGTATGCCGTCTCGGCGGAGTTCATCTGTTTTTATGGCTGGCATATCGAATTTTCCCAAAATAAAAAAAAAAAAAGAACAAATAAAATGAAAATAGTTCAATTTAATTTCTTAGCCAGAGATTGGCAACGGCAGCAAAATGGAGAAAAATCTATTGAAATTATTTCGTAATATTTTTTTTTTCTTGCAATTTGTTAAAAACGTGGCCCGGAAAATGCAATGGAAATTGCAATTGTTGCTATTTCGTTGCTATGCAAATATTGTAATTGCTTAAAGGCTTTGCTGCTGCTCTGACAAGTTGTTGTTGTTTGTTGTTTTAGTTGTTCTTGTTGTTGTTGTGGATGCTGTTGCTGCCATTTGCAATTGTTTTATTTGCTGCTCATCGCAATTTGATTGCTTGGCCGTTTGCGCCCACGCGGCGTATGCGCAATTTCTGCAAACGAGAAAAAAACAATATGAAGACAATGTGCATATTATTTACACTGGGCAACATGCAAAAAATTAAAATGCCAACATGTTGACCGGTTGACCGGTCACTCGGCTGCCCACGTTCAAAGATAAACATATTTTCATTTGCCGAGTGCGCACGGGCTGCAAAAAAGGCAACAACAAACATGTTGAAACAACAACAACAGCAACAGCAACAACAACAGCAACTACAAAGTGCGGCTGTCCACCTGCTGCAGCAATGCATTTTGCAAAACTCAAGTAAATAATTTAATTAGCTGCTGGCGCTGCACTCAAAAAATGCTTTAACTCATTTAATTACTCGCAGTTTTTGCTGCATGCAACGTTTCCTAACGCTTTTTCATTGACTTTGCCGCAAAATTGGGCATATTCCCTGCAACTAGTGTTGCAAAGCTATTGACAAACGGCTATTTCTGCTATCGATAACTATCGCAATGCTAGGACGTTTCTGGTGTAAGGCGTGAAAACTCGACAATATTTCGTTTCAATTGCAAAATGTTTTCTCTACTGTCAAACATTATTTTGATAAAGCTATTGCATATCATCTTTATTCGATAGCCATCTTTTATAATTCTGGTAGTTGGCTATCGTGCCAAAGATCGATAACATATCGTTTAGCTTCTAGTTGTTTCCTTTTCTATAGGTATTTATTATTAAAACGATCTCAGCTCTTGGTGCTATCGATAGCTGTGGGTTAGCTTAGAATCTTTCTTGGGGATGTTTCAATTTAGTTATGTAGGTTATATTAAAGTCTATCAAATTTGTGTCGTACGTCGACTATCGATATTTCGATAGCTAATGTCAAAGCTCGATAACATATCGTTTCTACTTCCAAATGTTTCAGTTTTATTATTAGCATTTACATTTATTTATTATGAGAAAATATTTGTTAAGGACTCATATCTTATATTAAATACCCTTCCAATTCTCTAGCTTGAGTGTATTGAGGGTTCGTTTTGCTCTAAATTTCTTGGTTCTAAAAACATTTTTTTAGACCGGTTTGTTTTTATTTTTTGTTTTCTTAAACATTTTTTTTTACACCGGACACGGCCTGCAATTTGGGCCACGCGCCTACAGCAGCAGTCACACACACACACACACACACACGCACGCACGCACACAAATGCCCGGAGGGGAGGGTGCTGCGGTGGAGGCCCAGACTGGAGGAGCTGGAGATGTGGTGTGAAAAATGGGCAATTGCATTGGCATTGGCAGCAACAGCAACAGCAGCAATTCGGGCAAAGTGACAAATACCTCGATACACATTGTGACAGGTAAATTCTTTGTTGCGGTTACGAAATCGACGCAGCCCATAAAGCCAATAGACAGCCAGACAGAAAGACAGCTAGACAGATAGTCAGACTTATAGATAGACTGGCAGACACATTGCGCTCAACATTTTTGGCACATGCCAATGGCAACCGCAGCGGAAAAATGCCAAAATCGAGCGCAGCCAAATGGCAAATGATTTGTCAGCAATTGTTGATGGGGTGACAATGGCATCGTAGACTAATCGAAGCTGCGCAGGATGGAGGGTGTGGGGTGTAAGATGTGTGTGTGTGTGTGTGTAGAGAGTGCAGGTATTTGAAGGCAATTGCAGCTCAGAGCTTGCTTTGCATATCGATTTGGTTGCATTGTTGAGAACGCAATGCCAGCATCTCAGCAGAGACAGCGCACAGCTCTTATAGGGTTTGTACAGGGGTGGTGGGTAGAGGGTATTTGATAGTTGAGGTGTCAAATGCCATAAGGTAAGCTAATCAAGGCACATGATTGAAATGCTGTTAATGACAGATTCTCCTAAGAAATGTTGCAGCGCCGAGTTGCGCACAGTTGTTTGTCAAAGGACAGCTTTAAAAGCTTTCTAGAGGAGTTAAAACTGTGGCCACTTTTCGATTTCCAGATTAAGATTCGTAGTGAAGCAGTCAAGATTTACCAAAGTTTTATCAAAGATTCACCAAGATTCATTCCTTAAAATGTCTACTCTTAGCTAGAATTCACTTATTAGGCATAAGGCCAAAAGTCGGATGCGTATCATAAATCTCCTGTTCTTAAGGTCAAATAGGCTCGAGATTCGTTCATGATATCTTCCTTAGTCAAATTCTGAACTATTCCTAAACTCAATTCAACCAAAAGCAACATTTTTCTGAACAAATGAAAGCAAGTTTTTTGGGCTCAACTTATTTTTTTTTATGCCCAATCAAACTGATTTGCCCACAGCTCGTTGCAACAGTTTCAGTTGGGCGCCAAGCCTACTCTGAACCGGCCCTGTTTTACAGTAGCCCTTGTCTGCCTCTCCCAGCCAACCTTTTGCTGCAGCTTAACTCGTATATACAGACATGTATATGTATTTATATGTAAGCGCTGCCTTTATAAATTGTATCTTTAATTGATTTTTCGTACCTTGGCTGATTGAATTGGACTTAAATACGACAGGCGACGCCAGCTGGCTGCCAGCTAACCGATCTCTGATTATTCCAAGTTCCACATACCCGCACCCTTCCGTCTCTCTGTCACTCTCTGTCTTTATCTGGCATAATCTTTCTCCAATTTTTTTTTTTTTTTTGCCGTCCAACTTATCTAACATCGTCGTCAGATCGTGATTGTTGAACAAATGACATTTGACATGTTATGCGGATTTTTATACCCTGCAACTATTGAAAGTGGGTATGCTGGTTAAAGCAAGCGTATGTGACAGGCTAAAGGAAGCGTCGATCTCAAGAAATATGTGAGTTGGAGTGGTGTAAAATTTGGTATTACCTGCGCAATGCGAGTTTATTTCAAATTATCGATAACTTGTCTAAATCGATAAAAATCGATTTGCGTTCCTAATTTTTCAAGCAAATCTCGAAAATAATATGAGCTAGGGACACCAAATTTTGTAGGCAGGCTTTAACATATTCAGCAAACATGCAGAATATTGCCATTGTTTTATATCCTGTCCCTTTCTGGGATTCTTGGTCTTGCCGTTGGGTTCAGTGCATCGCCTAGTCGGACATGCTCAACTAGAGCCCTACTTTCTTATATTTGGGCTTGTGAGCCTAATTGTATGATAGGAAATGTTGTTGTTGTTGCTGTGCCTAATTCGCCTAGGAATGGGGGTTTCCATATGTGCGCAGCTGGAAAACTTTGCTTATCTGTTTGGGCTGGGAAAATATACAAAAAAAAAAAAAGGCTCATAAATTGTTGCGCTGCTGGCTGCAATTGTTTAATTGTTCGCTTTGCAGTTTGAAAGCATTTTTATTTTTATTTGTATTTTGTGGCTGATAATCGGTTTAAAAGTGACTCAACTTTTGGCTGGATTTGCATTGTTGCTGCTGAAAATTATTGTCAATTGTGTGGCATAAGCATAAGCCGCATTAATTTTCAACTGTTTGTTTGTTGCCCAGTTTTAATTGTGCAATTGTCTCGCTTCAGCATAGTTTTCTGTTAGCTTTTTTGGCCCGAAGTTCAAGTTGGCTTATGCAAGCGGCATTCGCTGCAGTCCACAGCAACAACACTTGGCCAGCGACCTTAGCCACGCTTTTGGGGCTTTGGGTTTCTCTTTGTGGGCCAACCTATGACATCTGCGGCCGGAGTCAAAAGATTTGCTTTGTTATTCGATTTGCCATTATGTATTTGGAGTTGCAAACGTGCGGGTGTGTGTGCGGGTGTGTGTGTGTGTGTGTGTGCCTGGCCGCCCCCCCTCCGGCAAACGGCCGATGTCAGTCGTCAGTCAGCAATCGTGATCGATGCGGCCACCAAAAAAAAAAAAAAAAAAATAAATAAATAAGAGAAAAAACGCCGCCGCGGCATATTGTTTCAGTTTTGGGCCGCTTCTTGGAATGCGATCACGTCTTGGCTTTGCCTTTATGGCCGCCGGCTAGAAATTGGCCGCAACTGATTTGCACAACTGTCAACGAATGCAGCTGCAGATTTGTAATACCCTTGCTAAGGGTATGATCGTGTTCCCATTAAATATGTGACACTTGGAAGAAGATGTCTTCGACAGCATGAATCACTAAAAAGTCACGTCTGACTGCATCTATGCATCGATTCATCTTTCTCTTCAAGATTGTATATGTCCGCATCGGATCGGTATAACATATAGCTGCCATAGTACACATAAAGTTGACGAATTTTGAGTGCTTGGCATTGACGAACTCGTGCATGGTTCTTACAAAAGATCTTCAGAGCGCCGGACTACTCTCTCGTATAGAATTTTTAGTTGTTTTTAAGAAATATTTTCGGCAGCGAACTGCTAAGTATATCCTTAAGCTAAATATGTGAAATCGATTGAGAGCAGTTTTTTTTTTTTTTTGGAAAACTCATCTTGATTGAACTCTGCAGACACGATCTTTCATACGCGCCTCACTTATCTTCAAAATCGAAGCCTTATGAAAGGGTATTTGTCTAGCATGTCATATATATTTTATGGATACCTCTTCTGTGCCTCCAGATAACTTGATCAAAACCTGCAGCCGCAATCTTCTTTAAACTCCACACATATCTGTAAAATTTAGGTCCTACAAAGAGTATTTGATATGCGGCTTGCCTTGGCAAGCCGTACTTACTTGTTTAGCTAGATAAATATGATTTTTATTTTTTTTTGGGGGCGCCCGTTTGTCGTGGCCCTTTACCAGCGGTCAATTGGTTTGCCAGTGGCCTGTAGTATTTCGTGGCCGGGTCGTGCCCATTTCTTGAAAAGGTTCCTCAAATTGCTGGCAGCTCCTGAAGCGAATTTGGTTGTCGTTGTATAAATCGTAGGTGGGTGGTTAGCTAATTTGCTTTTTGCCCCCCCCCCCTCTCATTTCCTGAGCGGGCAAAGTCATTAACATTTTGCCAGCTGTTTCTATTTGGCAGTAAAAACTTTTAATTTAATTACACACACTACTCCGACTGAGGACTCGAACGAAACTGAATACATTTGCCTCGCTTCGACACCGTTCAAGTTAGCAGTTTCTTTTCTGGATTGTATTTTAATTGAATTGCCAATGCGAACGTTGAACGTAAGTTGAGCATGTCTCTCTAAGCGCAAAAGTCGAAAATCCAATCTGCGCCAAATCCATTGCCATGGCTAAAACCCATTTGCAATGACGTCTAAACTTTACAGCCAACTGCTCGACCCGCCCAACTGGCCGTAGCTCTTGCCTAAAGACCAAATGAAGATAAACACACATGAACGACGCTCTGATGCTTCGTCTCTGGCTCTGAGCTGACAGCGAGAACGGACAGACGGACGGAGTCTCGCTGTCTGTCTGTCTGTCTGGTCTGGGCTGGACCAAAGTTCTGACAAACTTGGCTAACCGCCATAGCAGACGACTGCTCAAGCTGCCATACGCGGCGTATGCGCAATGCACGAAATAAATGTCAACGTTAGATGACATTGGCTTTGGCAACAGCAGCACGCGGCGTGGCGTAGTCGGCAGCGGGATGCGGAGGCGGTGCACTCATCTCGGAGCCCGCATTTAATAAAAATGAATTAAATTAAAATACGCAACTGCTGACAAAATGTCAAGTGTAGCAATAAAACGCCAGAGCTGAAAAAGGGTCGCTTGCGGCAGCAAGTGGCAGGCAGCTTGCGGCATGTGGCAGCGGGGCAGGGTGCCGGGGGCAGCGACGTTTGCTGAACCAAAGCTGGCAAGCGTTCTTAATGAATTACACAAAATGCGGGACGGTTCGTTGTGCCTGGGTCTGGGTCTGGGTCTGGGTTCGGGTCCGGGCCCGGCTCCGAGCCTCGTTATGCTGCTCAGTTCTGGTTCTGGTTCTTTGGCTTTGCGGAGGCAACAACAACAAAAATTTGCAAAATTAATTTAACAAATTTTTAATTGCTCATGTCGTTTGCGCGTCCGATCAACGTGTCTGGACAGCGCTACACTGTCCGAAAAAAAACGCACATAAACGTGCAAAAAAGCTGGAAAAAAAAACATGTAAACAAAATAGCCAAAAGCATTCGCAGTTACAATTTTTTTGCGAACTATTTCTTTATTATTGTTGAAGCTTATTTTTTATTGCTGCAGCTAGCTACACTGCCAGAAATATATGTGCACAAATATTGTAAAAAATATACAGAAAATATTAACAAGAACTTTCATTCATTTAATAAGTTTAATAGTTTTTTATTAATTCAATTTAGGTTGTTTATTGGCAGCAATTGCAACTCAATTTCGCTCAGTGCACGGCCGCAATATCGACTTAAGCCACCTGCCTCTGGGTCTGGCGGCGGCTGTTTGCTTTTGGCTGCTTCGCTTGTATATATATACGTTTTTTTTTTTCGTGTCTTCATCAGCAGCAGCTGCGTTTTGCGAGGCGGCACGGCGTGGCGTGGCGTGGCGTGGCCTGGCGCGGCGTTTGGCCACAAAACAAGTTGAAGTTTAAGGTCATGAGTGTGGTTGTGCTTACACACACGCGCGCACACACACACGCACACACACGCACAGTCAGTCAACTGTCAACATAAAATATGTATGCGGCAACATTTTTATGGCGCCTCAAGTTCAAGTGCAAGCTGTTAATGGCAGCTCTAGTGGAAATTCGCTTTTGGGGGCTTTTCCGCATTTCATTGCAAACCCAGCACAAAAGATGTAGAAACAAGAGAAGCAGCAGCGGCAGCAACAAAAGCTGCAGCAGCTGTCCATACTGCCAAATCAGCTTAGGCAGCCTCTGGCCTTCATTCCGAACGAAGCTTCCTGCAGTAACAGGCAGCAGCTGCCCAAAAATTTTACTTTGCTGACAGCGCACACATTGGGCAAAAGGATTTTTCACCTTAGACCCACGTGTCGTATGTGTAATGTGTGTTCAATTGAATGGACAGGCAAAGGGCTGCAAAATTGCTCAGCGAGTGTGCGAACGATAACTTTTGTAGCACAGTGTCAGATGCCTGGGGCAGAGCTTACATAGTTGGCGTTGGCAGCGTTTCGTGTTTCGTGTCACGAGCACGCACTTCCATGAAATGAAAGATGCTACTGTGTGGCCGGGCTGTGCTTAACAAGACGATAAACACAGTCTTAAAGGGTTTGAGCATGAATTAACGCGATTCTACGCAATTTTACGCACTCAACGAGACCTTTAAACGATTAAGCACGACGAAAACACGAATAAACGATACTTGACATAGCCTAACACGAATAACTGACACGACTTTACGTGACCTTAGTCGACTAAGCACGACCAACACGACTGAACCACGCCTTGACACTTCTAAAGGGGCCCTGGCAGAGAATTTTACACGACTAAGCACGACTCGACACGTCTTAACACGATCAACATGAGAGCAAAGCACAACAATACAACAAACTGTTTTTGAACGAAAAAAGTAATTTTCCTACTGCTCAACATGCGTATGTATGTGTGTATTTATATCGTAGAGCATAACACATACTTCCATATATATATATATATGTATGTATATGTATGTATATGTAAATATGTAACATGATTAAACGCGATCAATTGGGACTAGCACGGTAAAGCCACGATTCCAAGATATATTAAATCCAAACTGAATTGGCTGCCTGATTATGTTGATCCGAATCAAACACGAATTAAACAGCATAAATGTATGCACGTATTTCCAATATACATAATTTAATTTCAATTAAGTTCCACACATGCACACAAATTATCAAACGATGTAAATAAAAAAAAAGTGTTACCGACTTTCATTTGATTGATTTGACCTAATAAGCGCAGCCAATCGAGAGGCTGCATTCACTAAAACTATCGATTATATTAGGGCCAAGTCTGGCTTGCATATGATAAATGATATCGATACCTCTACGTTAATGGACAGCATTCTCTAGCACATGGTTTTTTAGTAAGTCGCTCATCACTAAGTGCATGACAAATAAGAATTTTAAGGAAAATGTTTGTGATTTCAAGTTTTGTGTGCAGCTGCTTGGCATTTAAAGTGAAATGCAAAATATTTGAAACAATTGCTGACATGCGGCCAATAACAGCTCGGGCAGACCTCGCACAGCAATTCCTGACTGGCATGTAAGTTTTAATAAAAAATTTATTGTTGGAGCCGCACTCCGGTATGGTGTATGCACACATTCATACATACATACGTATGGGTATGCAAATATTTCGTGTGTGTTACCTTTCCTTTGAGCTGGGCAATATTCAGACCCTAATAAAACATTGCCACTGATGAAATTTCGTTCAGCACTAAGTTCGGCATAAACGCATTTGTTACGCTTCTTTCGACTGTTTGTGGCAGCTCCCCAGCGACTTAATTTGCCAACATTTTGCGCGAGTTGTAGCTCAAATCTACTCACAATTCCTTCTTTTTTTATTTCGTTGAGCATTTTGCCAAACAAATTGCATTCGTCATTTGTCAGCTACATTGTTTGTCAAAGCGCTCCCCAGGCGCACTTTGGCGAGGGCAGCTGCTTGGTTCTCATAATTTGCCAGGCGCTCGCAGTCGACCAGCGGGCGGCAGTGTTGCCAACTGTCTGCTAAAAACAGCTGAATTAGATTTCTGCGCCAAAGTTGGCAATATCTTGGATTCTTATTGGACATTAGTGCGAGCTTAAATTTTAAAGGTCCGATATGAGCACGAAAAATGCATTTTAATAAAAACTCCTGATGTTTGTGAGAAACATTTGGTTGAAAAATCCCACGCCTTTCTTTAGCTAGTCTTCTCATCAGTTGCAAAATTGTAATTTTGTATCGAAAATAGCCAAATGTAGCTTTAAGAGTAGCTGAATCGACAACACTGGCTTGCAGCTACTGGCTAACCATTTGACCAGCTGCTAAGCTTTCCAGCTAACCAGCTCTCGGCTATCAGCTCCTGGTACTCGAGTTTAGCTCTCATTTGCAATTTGTGTGGCGGCTGCTCAATGCAGGAAGTTGGCAATCGACAAACGATGCACATGATGATACGGGGATATGGCTGCTGCTGTTGCTGCAGTTGTTGCTGTTGCTGAGAAATGCAATTAATTACTTATGTAGATGGCTCCCTGGTTGCGGGTTCCTGTGTGCCCGGGCTGCTCATAATCAGTTCACTTAATGTGCAGCTCTAGCTGGTCTAATCAGATATGCTAGCAAAAACAAATTAAAAGTCAAATGCAGTTTTGTATCTGTATCTATAACTTAATATGTCTGTGTGTATCTGTATCTGTATCTGTATCTGTATCTGTGCAGCTGCATTGTTGCTATTTTTAAATGCAAATTCACATTTGCAAAACCGATTAGCTCGTGCTGTTGATGATGATGGCCATGACGATGATGATGATGATGATGACCAAAAGCAATAAAATTATTTAAGCGACATTTATGCAGAAGGGACGCGAAAAAGAGCGCCAAACAAAAACGCATGAGAACCAAACTCAAATAACTGAAAACTGAATTAAGTGACTCGGCTCGAAGGGGGCGTGGGCTGTGCTTGACGGTGGCATCCACACTGACATCCGTTGTGGCACTAAGCGCAGCTTCCGCAGCCAACAACGCAGGATGCCAGTCAGCCAGGCAGGCAGACAAACAGACAAGCAGACGGCCAGCCAGGCAGCGCAGCTGTTGCCACGTTGCACAGGTAGCTCTGGGAATGGCACTGGGAACCACCGACGGAGCTGCGACAATGGCAACGGAAATGTTAAATGCCGCCGTGAGTCGCCACCGTCGCATTCAATCGCGCTCGGCCCTATTGGCTTGCCTGTTGCCGCACCGCGCTGCCGCGTCGCCTAACGACTCGATTCATTGATCGTTGATTGAATTTCGATTCGTTAGGTTTCGCAGGCCTGTTCGGTTTGTTTTCCCATTTGCCTTTCAGGCTGTGCGTTGCATGCCACAAGCTCAACACACCCGCCCTCTGTTGTTATATTCTCTGCTCTGCTCTGCTCTGCTCTGGACCCTGGTTAGGGACAACGGCAACGACAATGTTTGGCTTTTTGCAGGAATAGACATGTTGCCATGTTTGTTTAGT